ATGCCAATCACTAACATCCATCGACATCTTTGACGATGGGCGGAATTCTTCTTAGGTTTTTCAAAACCCGAGAAGGATTGACTCGCGAGGAGCAGGCTGGGTTTCGTTCTGTTCGAAGATGTATTGACCATATATTCACTTTTTGCCAAATGTTAGAACACCGTCATACTTATCAAAGGCCAACAATCGTAGTGTTTCTTGACATAAGCGCTGCCTTCGATTCGTTGGACAGGACTGTTCTCTGGGATTATTTATTGAAGAAGGGTGTGCCTGAGAAGTTCATTAACATCCTAGAGTCCCTATACACAAACACCTCAGGCAGAGTGAGGGCATACAACCACCTTTCTCCACTATTCCATTCGAGCAGTGGAGTTCAAATCACGTGCAGCGGAAGCCAGAGCGGCTTATGCCAATCTGGGCCATCTTTGGCGCCTTTGTGATGTCAGTCTGGCTGTAAAAGGTCGGATCTACAACGCGTCGGTGAGAGCAGTTCTGCTCTATGCTTGTGAAACCTGGCCTATCCGAGTTGAGGATGTTAGACTACTCTCTGTGTTCGATCATCATTGTCTCCGAAGGATTGCTGAGATCCAGTGGCAACACCATGTTAGTAATGCAGAGGTTCGGCATCGTGTGTTCGGGCACAGAGACGATAATGAAATTGGTGTCACCATCTTGAAACACCGACTTCGGTGGCTTGCACATGTTCTACGAATGTTGTCCCAGAGAACTCCTCGTCGTGCATTATTTGCCGACTCTGGGACTGGTTGGAAAAAGCGGAGAGGTGGTCAGTATATGACATGGTGTCGTGGTATGAAAGAAAGCTGCAAAGGGCTAGCTTCTGTTGGTCCTTTACGACTCCCTGGCTGGGATCCGAATGATGGTGTAACACAGTGACTAGAGATGTTATCAGATATGGCTCAGAATAGAAGCCAGTGGCGATCGTGCTGTAACCTTCTTTTACTTTCTTCATAAAAAGTGGTTGTATCTTCCTTAACTGAAAGATTTCTTCTGATTGTACTTATCCGTTTACCCCATTATTATTATTGTTGTTTTTATTATTATTATTACACTACCTTACGCAATTTGATCGTTATTGTCCGCGTGACTATCTTAACCAATGGTTGGTGACATGGCTCAGAATCTATCACAATGGTGTCGATGCGCACACTCTTTGTCTTCCCTTAAACTGTAAGATTAATGTCGCTTTATATCTTTCTTTCTAGGAACTAATTCTTTCTTCCTGTACTATATCTTTATACACATTCTTTCTTTTGTGTAATACTAACATTGAAGTGAATACTCCTATGAATTCGATGTTTATTTTGTTGTGCTAATGAGGTGTGGCAACTTGGACCGATACACAAATGTGCCTGTTCCTACGTTGTAGCTGACTGACCGAGAGAGATACGAACCAATTTTAACGTAGCGCATATGTATATCTGTCTTAGCTCTCACAATTAATGCTTATATAGAAATAAAATATCAAAACGATGAACGGTGAAGAAGTGAAAACAGTAAAAATGACGGTGGGAGTAAATTAAAAATTATCGTCAAAAGAGACTGATAAACTGGAGCAATGCAGAAAATAGAATTGTTATAACAAAGCAAAAATTAAACCTGTTAGTCGAATCCTGAATTTCTTGGAATACAAGTGACCCACGAACTCCAAATCGCCCGACCATTTATCTTCTGTTTCTTTTGCTATAGAAATACCGTATTTTGCTACTTTGTTGTATTGTCTTTAATCTCAGTCCATCCAGAGGTCCAGTGTCTTGAGCACTGATTGCTCATTCACATTTGTATCATGGGATGTTATATGTTGGCCCACATAATTTTCATTTAGTTCAAAAATTCGAAAACACTCATAGTCATTGAAAATAGTGATAAACGTCTAATTTATCACAAGAATACCCCAGTATTCATAGCAAATTAAAAAACCAATGGGTCCGCATTAATTTAGTTTAAAGAATCCAACCATCGAGAACAGTTGTTCTGCGTAAGCTAACATCTGTAAAAGGTCCAAACGAACAGCCGACTTCATAAATGGCAACTATTATTTTTCCATTGGATGTACATAGGCAGAAAGGGTAAGCAAGCTGTCAAAAAGCTCGTTCAGTTTTGGCAAATTTCAGCTTCTTTTTCTACCAGTTCTAGTGAAGATTAGTTATTTTATTCGATGTTTATCTTACTATAGAATTAACCTTCGTAGGTTTCAGTTATTTTCATCGATTCTGACTTTCCAGTATGTGGTCGCGGAAAATGTTGAGTTCCATTGAAATCATGAACAGATTAATGTTAAACCACGATTAAAAACCTAGAAGCACTGGACAGCCGTTTCGTCTTAGTACGGAAGTCCTCAGCAATGCACATGCATGATCCAGCACGCGAAGATCGAACCCAGGGCCTTTGGTCGCTTGCGAACGCTTAACTTCTAGATCACTGAGCTAGCCTTCAGCGGGGTCAATGTCTGACTTCGAGATGGTGGAGAAGATTTGTAGCTCAGGTGGATGATTTTGATGGAGTTTTGTTCTCTGAGCTGGATGGTTTGGTCGTGGAGCTTTCATCGTTCTTCTGAACGACATCATCAGCACAAACTTCAGATAGAAGTGAAGTGTTCGAATTTCTCCATATGCGTTTCACAGCTTGTTCTGTGCACCTCGATGTTGATTGGTTCTTATTGACCTTAAATTTGTCATTGTTTACCTTTTTGTGATGGTGGAGAAGATTTGTAGCTCAGGTGGATGATTTTGATGGAGTTTTGTTCTCTGAGCTGGATGGTTTGGTCGACCAAACCATCCAGCTCAGAGAACAAAACTCCATCAAAAATTTACCTTTTTGTCTTGGTTTTGTCTCCTATTGGTTTGATTCTTGTTCCTATATTTGTGCATAAGTTTCCTGATTGGTTGATAAATCGGATCGATTTCAATATGTTTGTTGATTGCTGATTGACCTGAGTGCCAGGCTTCTAAAAATTCTCTTGTGTTTTTAGAATTTCCTCTGTCCACGATTTCCACATTTTTCCAATCGAATGTGTGTCCGCAGTTGTCCACGTGTATTGATATAAGTGAGGAGATATCATGCCGTTTGACTGCTAATTGATGTTCATGTAAGCGCATGTGAAGGGGGCGTCCGCTTTGTCCGATGTAGTGTTTGTCGCAGTTGACACAATTTATTTTGTAGATGATGTTCGATTTATCTTCTTTTGTTATTTCATCCTTTGGTTTGCATAGGATTGATTGTATTGATTTTGTCGGTTTGTGTGCCACACCTATCCCGAAGGTTTTTAGCAGTCTTGTTGCGGTTTCTGATATGCCATGTATGTATGGTAGGGTGATCCGTTTGTTGATTTTTGACTTCAACCAATCCACGACATTGCGCGATCGTCTTCCATTGTTTTCAGTGGGTAAGCTGCTTTACACTACGCGGTTCACCTCCACTGGTCACAACTCATAGATTGGTTAAAGTTAGACAATAACACCGTTGGATGCCAGTTCAGTGGTCTAGAGGTTAAGTGATCGCGCGTGAGGTCCTGGATTCTAATCCCGCGTCGGTGATCATGAATGCGTCCTTCTGAGGAGTCCCATACTAGGACGTAACGGCTATCCAGTGCTTTCAGGTTTTCAGTCGTGGTTTAACATTAATCTGTTCATTATTTCAATAGGACTCAACAACACTACACTGAAAATTGCCATGTGCTCACTAGTGTTTATTCATTTAAACATATAAACATTGGTAAAGGCACTAAATACATATGCACCACACCATCATCCGATTTGTATGAGGGCTGGGATACTGCGCGGGGACCACTCCTCAAGTCTTTGACGTAAAGGTCTAATCCACAAGGCGGTGGAGAACTTTAAGAGAGGTAGTCCCATGGTAGCCGGTGACCAACAATAGGTTCGTACGCCATTTGTTCCCTCAGGATCCTGGAGTCCTTGTGCACCATTGGTTTGAAACCAGGGTTTTCCAACACCCATAGGTGGGTCCTCCATATACACCAACCCGGTTAAATCTCCAGATATTCGCTTTCCGTCCTCTATTTCGTAAATAGCACCTCCGCTTCGAGAAGAGAATGAATAGAACTTCCCTGGCAGTGGCTATAAACACGTGAGCATATAAAGGAGAGTGGACTCTCCCCACTTTTGGCCGTACCAGGGCATCTGCGCTCAAGAGGTAATTTTCGGAACTGTAGTGAGAAGCCGTGACCAGTGGAGTTCGGTCGTGTCTGGTGTGAGGCAGTTACTCACCAAATACAGTGGAAGATGGTCACGCAGTATCATGGATGAGCTGAAGCTAAACATCGACATTGTTGGTTGTTGGCTCAGTGATCTGGAGGTTAAGCATTCACGCGGGACCTTAGGTCCTGGGTTCGATTCCCGCGTGTGGGATCGTGCATTCTTATTTTGTCTTTAAACTTGATTTTAGTATTTTTACAAACTACTGTCTCTCTACCATACTGTTAAACTGCTAAACGATACAGATTCAATGTTTTATTACTGTTCTTGATTGTTTCCAAAACTTATCACGAGATATTGCACAATTCAGCCGCATAAGTAATATCCTTTATCTTCCTTTTATACCATTCTCAATTCATGTTTTGATCAAATCCCCAAATACGAGTGACGTTTTTGCGCATTTATCTGTATTGCTGTGTTCATCTTATCGTTTTTGTATATATATATATATATATATATATATATATATATATATATATATATATGAAACCACCAAAAGATTTCTTCGTTCAACCACATCCATATTCACTTCCTCAAACCAGACTTCTGAAAATATTACGTGGTATATGTTGCCCATACTATCATGTCATTGGGTACTGTTACATATAAACTCATGAAGATGTTTTTATTCCGGATTGGTTGTCTCTGATCATCATTTAGTAAGGCGTCTTAAATCTTAGTTGTAGTTACAATGAAATTCATATTGTGATTGATTTCTAAGTTCATTTCCATGTGCAGGATTTCAGTTTTATGTTTCTTTTCTAGAATGAAGCCAGCAGCAATGAAAAAGTTCAGCTCCAGTCATTCTTCTCCACTACCACCCAGTGAGCCAGGAGCTCCTAAAAGGTCAGTGCCTGGACCAACTTCCCCGTGGCATTTTTTAGATCTCTTATTGTTTTCGACTCTTCGACGACCGATGTTTATTGATCCGGCCATTAAAGCTGGAGTATATCTTTGCCTAGCTGCCGGCGTATCTCTTGTCTTCGACTTTGTGAGAGCTCCTCCAACTTACTTTTCTAATAAGCAAAATCCGTTCAATAGGTATTTCGTGAAATTAGGGTGGGCTTGGACATGTGGTTGCCTTGCAGCCTTTATAATCGTTTCTTCCTTTGTATATACGGCTGGTAATGTTAAGCTTATGCGTGGGCATATTTTACGCTTGGTCGTTGGCTCTGGCTGTTGGTATACTGTTACTGGACTTATCAACTTAATTCATGATTGGTCTGGTCACTGTCATCCAGCATCGGTTACCTTGCCTAATGGACTCCGTCCCAATCAACGAATTTCATGTCATCGAGCTGGAGGTGTTTGGCTAGGATTTGATATATCGGGTCACTGCTTCCTGCTAATCATGTCCAACTTATGGATCATAGAAGAACTCAGCTGTATGCAACATTGGAACAAACTCTCTGAAATTCTACAGCTGCATAAGAGCAACGAACCGAACCAGTCCACTAATACCAGTGGAATTCGTCATGTTTCTGAACAAGAACTGAACATTATGCGCTCAGCTTATCGAAGATTAACAACTATGATTCGTCTAATATTTTCGTTTACAGCCTGTTTGTCTATGCTTTGGGATATTATGTTTCTTTCGACAGTAATCTATTTTCATACTATGCCATCAAAGCTTTTGGGTACCGCACTTGGTGTCGCTTGTTGGTTCCTATTTTACCGAGTCATTTTTCGTAGTTGCCCGACTGGATATTGGGGTGGGTTCGCTCCTGGACTACCCGGAGATGGTCCGATTAAATTTGTACTCAAATAGCTCCTCCAATAAAATATGAATAGTTACTGTTTGTATAGAATATCACAGTTTTCGTAAATACTTTAGTTTGACGTTTCGGTACTCATCACTTTTACGTTTTTCAAAATATATTTTCAGTATGTTGTCATGTTGACTGATGAAATCACTGATTTTGAGCTTTTATAACCAATCATATTGTACTGCCGTTACTTTTAAATATCAGAAAACAAAATCCTGGCTTGTAACCACATAAAATAACGTTTTATAACCATTACGTACCAGTCCTGAAGTTTGGTAGGAAGCAATTGCGTTCACCGAGGTGAAAAGCTTCATGCCAGCTGTTCGGACATGTTTATGTAACTAAAAACAGAAGACCTACGAAAAATGTTCACATGCTTGTTTTATATTGATTTTTGATGGAATTATGAATATCATGAAGTTAAAGGTTGTGTAAATTAACAAACATCTCTCTAATTGTCATATTCACCTCATCGAAAGTTGGCATGCATATAGAAGTAAATGAGCCGAAAATTTCAACATTTAAACCAATTCTTCTACCAACCACCAATGATTAGGTGATGTAGAATTTCAAACCTACGTTCCACCAGCAAGACCCAAAACATACTAAACATAATGATTTTTTCACTTAGTACATCAATAAGCTTGGAATTATAGTGTAGGAATATATTTTTCCTACTTGACTGTATAGTAAGACGTAGAAACTTTGTTTAAATGCTTGTAGTTTTTTTCATAAAATCATTTTGCAAACATGTGGTTGTTTTAGTATGCAACAGGTTATTCATTAGGAAAAATTGTTGGGACAGTTGCCAATAAATTGATAGGTGTTCATTAGATATGTTCACGATGAAGTACCTAGACATGAAACTAGGTTAGATATGCACCTTAATTCACTAACCTTCAATATAAACATGTATCCACAAAATTTCTCAGTACAATTTGGAAAGAGCCAGAAACTAATCGCAAAGCCTTAATCCAATAAGTTTAATTCAACCTATATGTTAAGTTTCCAGAAATAAACAGACACTAGCTACTATAATCTTCAGTTCAGTTGTGTAACTAGTTCGGGATATCCTCCACTCACTTTCTGTTAGGTAGTTTAATGATGTCGCAACGTTTTACATGTTGTAATACCAGGCAGTACAAAAATATGTACTAGTTTACTTATTTCCCTGTCAGATAATGGGACCGAACTGTTATCAATAATTTTCATGTGAAAACCCCATCAATATGGTAAGCACATGAAGTATAACAAGTCATTGTATACACGTATTACTTTGTAGGACAAGTATATTCTAACATGTCTGTGCTCTAATTTTATGAACTTAAAAATGCCTATGATATTCTCTTTTGAATTACCACGGTCACTAACACTTCCTACTAGTGTTTTATATTTGCACATCTGTTTAAGTTTGTATAAGTATTACTAAATTCGACTTGGTGGCGTTCAGTGTAAATTTTAATTCTTCAAAGTAAACTGCAAAGTCTGTCTTCATGCTATGATGTTATTGTATCAGATCTAGCGGAAATGGGAAGTTTTAAGTTCTGAGATCGAAATCAATACCTCGGACTGTGGCTGAAAATTCGATATTATTCAGCTATCAACTCAGTCGTTCACATATCTTTGATAGGTAGTTGCGGATCATGATTTTCACAGATTAACAGGTTGACCGTGAACGCATCTGTATAACAAGATATTTATCTTGATTAACTTAGTGTTACAAGGTGTATACTAGTTCGTAAGTTAAGTGGTGGCTTGGCTTTTAACCAATAGGCAACAAGTTCGATCCCCACCACACCTCAAGTTTAGACATCTCCATAACAAAACTAAGCGTTTGACAGTATTGTTAGAAACCGAGTACGTAAACTCTTACTTGGTTAGTTAATTAATTAGATGAATCTCATTGAGATAGGACATAATTGTATTATTAGCAGTGACACCAGAACAGCTAAATAGTCTAACTAGAAAACTTTTATCATTCATGAAGTGGGTAAATTTTAATCTCTAGTGGTGAGAATTTCCTGTCATTTAAAGCGGGGGGAGTGAATATTTGCAAAACCTGGATCAGTTGATAGCCTGTTAAGCAAGTGTTATATTAGCTATTAGCCGCATATCAGTTAATACATTGCACTTTGACCTACATTTTTTTCGTGACTTTTGAATACACTACTTTAACGCAAATTCGATTCAGTAAATTCAAGTTGAAGAATTAGTTATTTGCTTAATGGATAGGCGAGTCTACACTGAGTTTGGTCCCAACATACATACGGGATTTCAATTGTGATCCGAGTAACTCAGCGGCAGTGTAAATTACTGTGATAGATTCCAACACCCTAAGGATAATCAGATACATCAAGGTTGCAAATGTGCCTCGGTGACGATTGTCGTCTAGCACGAAACAGACTCAGGACCCCTAACTAGGCTTCATATTTAAAAATAGTTAACTGGTGTACGGTTTCTAGACCTTATTCTCCTTAACTATTCTGCTTTTCAAGTTTGTTTTATGATTGAGACGAAAGGCTTTTTAATGTCCCTTTGTTTTTATTACCCTCAAAGACTACAGTAAGCCTAAAGTGAGAAGTGATTTTACAAAACGAAATTCCAGGTAACGTGTAGTCGTATAATGAGAATTCCAAAGCTATATGCTGTCCGTCCTGATTTTAACCTGAATAAAAGATAAAAGTGGTAACAACAAATAACGTTTAATTAAAGAAATTCAGGCGCTGTCTGGTAATTGTGAAGTTTTCCTGATATCAGAGACTACAAATGCCCTGGTACGGCCGAGAGTGGGGAGAGTCCGCTCTCCCTCTCGAAATGCTCTCACATGGCCATGCGTAAATAGCCTCTGCCAGGGAAGTCCTACTCACTGCTTTCTCGTGGCGAGGGTGTTATTCACGAGGATGAGAGGACGAAAAGCGAATTTCCGGCGCTTTAACCGGACCCCAAACCAATGGTGCACATGGGCTCCAGTATCCTGAAGGAACAAATGGCGTATGGACCAATCGTTGGTCACCGGCTTCCATGGGACTGCATCTCCTCACGATGCTCCACTGCCTTGTGGGTTAGACCTTTAGGTCAAAGGCTCGGGGTGTGGCCTCCTAGGAAAACCACCTGCTTCGGTCTGGAACCCGGAAAGTATCACAGCTCTCGCACAAACCAAATGAGATTTGTAAGGCGCATATGTATTTGGTGCCTCCTTGTACCAGTATCTATGTATTCAAATAAATAATATTTTACATTAATACATTGTTGATTATCAACTACTGATTTCTTTCAAAGCTCTGGTTAATTATATTCGTTGTGCTTCTGATACACACTATAAGATAAAAAGTAGAAAACTCTCATGGGGTTTTCAACGAAGAAAATAAAATGCTTGTTGAGTGTGAACTTAGCTCGCAATTAACAAGTAGTGGTTTATTCCGTATTTATACCAGTCATGTATTTGATCTGGGTGCATGCTTTAGCATAATAAATACAATATCGTGTCAGATTTAATCAATTTCAAGACACTCAATCTTATTGAAATGAGTAGTTTTGTGGAAAACTAATATGGTTTTGAGGGAAATTTCTTTGGGATAAATCAAAAGCTGAAAGATGATTTATTGAACCTCTCCCTATCGAGTCAATACCTAACGCATGTAGTAAATATTTCTAAAACTATACCACCGTCAGACTGCAGAATGTGGTTCGTCAGAATAGTAAAAGGATTTGTACAATAACTGGGATATAATTTTAAACAATATGATATGTGTGAAATACTTATCGAAAAATTCCATATCATGAACTGTTTGATGTTAGATCACCGTTAGAAACCTGGGAGCACTGGCGGCCGTTTCTTCCTATTATGGGACTCCTCAGCAGTGCGCATCCACGATCCCGCCCGCGGGATCCGAACATAGGGCCTTCAGTCTCGCGCACGAACGCTTAACCTACTGGACTACTGAGCCGGTATCCAATGGTGTTAGTGTCTAACACCAACCAATCCACGAAATTGCCGGCCTGGGTTCGAGTCCCGCGAGCGGGATTGTGGATGCGCACTGCGAGGAGTCCCACAATAGGGCGAAACAGCCGTCCAGTGCTTCCAGGTTCCCAACGGTGGTCTAACATCAACCGGTTCATGATCTCAATCAAAAAATTAATAATCTCCAGAACCCCTATGCTGATAATTTCGTATCACTTTGCTATATATCTCACAAACAAGCAATCATGGTGTTATACGGCACAAACATTTCCGCGGGTGTTAAGCAGATTATTGGTTGAAGACGATATTGATTCCGAAAGCTTAGCAATTATGGGAGGTTTTGAAGATAAATATGAATTGAACTGGAGTATGAGCATTAGTTTAGGATGTGGTATCAAGAATCTTAGAACAACATAAAAACAACGTTCAAATTCATAATTCACACTAAACCACACAATGGAGATTTCTCCACACCTTCCTCATTTTCACTCTTCAAACCTGTCACCTCATAATATTAATTTTAAAAGTGGCATAAACAGTAAGGACTATTTTGAGATGGATATGAGATGATAATTTGTGCAGTGATTACAACTGTTTAGTGACAATAAGCTCTAACAATTATCCTATCACTAGTTTACATCGAATTCCAAACTTGGTTACAATAATAGGTAATTTGTTTCTCAGCATGCTTTGTCTCTCTATATTAGGAGAAATATGCAAATCAACATACTGAGGATATATTTCGATAGTGCTTAAAACAATTACTATCTCTTTTATATCTATGGTTATATCTTCAAAATCCAGTGGTAAGGAAAAAATCCGCAGTCATCTCAATCTTAGCCAGAGTTCTTAGAGGACGAGATTTCGCGAATCAGTAGGGATAATACGATATCACGGTAAAATTTGCAACCAAAACAAACTTGAAAATATATTCAAAACTCGCAGGTCATTTAACTCCAATTCCATAAAGTATCATCAATAACTGTAGTATTGACCCCGAGAATCGGCTATGTTTGTTATTTAACTCAAGAGTTTTGAGAAAAAGTATAATTTGTTTATAATAGTGAATATTTGTTCGCTTCCTTCTTTAGTACGCTGAAATAGATATACCAATGGCACAGTTCTCAATTATAATGGGAAGTAATAAGTATCGTGTGTTAAAGACACCAGGGAACAATACTCAGGGATTGAAATCTTGTCACATATATATTAGAGCACAAGGTCAGTAACATGGAGGTCTGTAGTTTAGGTTCCATTTTGACTAATATTTTCTGGCGGTTAATTACTGTTAGGACCCAAGTTGTCACAGCACTAAAATAGTTGGATAGGAAATCAACAAAATGAGCACAGAAGCAATAACAAATTCGACTAAAAACCACATTACGTGTGCCTTACGCAACATGTAATGGCCGTTAGTACAGAAAGTACGAAAGGACTAGCGGTGGCCAAGGAAAGATAAGGTATCAGTTCACAGAGTCACTAACTTTTGAACTAGGTTGTGTAGGAAGGTCTACATCTCATTCACGCTTAACAGATAACTGTTCAAAGTCTGAATGATAAAGCAATAAATTAGTTGCAGTTCTCATTCTTCTTACTCGAGTTTAGTGCCCCCGAATGCCCTGGTACGGCCGAGAGTGGGGAGAGTCCGCTCTCCCTCTCGAAATGCTCTCATATGACCACGCGTACATAGCCCCTGCCAGGGAAGTCCTACTCACTGTTTTCACGTGGCGGGGGTGTTGTTTACGAAAATGAGAGGACGAAAAGCGAATTTCCGGCGCTTTAACCGGACCCCAAACCAATGGTGCACATGGGCTCCAGTATCCTGAAGGAACAAATGGCGTATGGACCAATCGTTGGTCACCGGCTACCATGGGACTGCATCTCCTCACGATGCTCCACTGCCTTGTGGGTCAGACGTTCAGGTCAAAGGCTCGGGGTGTGGCCCCCTAAGAAAACCACCTGCTTCGGTTTGGGCACCCGGGCAGTATCACAGCCCTCGCACAAACCAAATGAGATTTGTAAGGCGCATATGTATTTGGTGCCTCTTTGTACCAATACCTATGTGTTAAAATAAATAAATATAAATAAATAATACTCGAGTTTAGTATTATTACGTAGTTTATATTAATGAATTAATTCATATATTTTAGATAATACTCATCCAGTTTAATTTGTCCACTGGTATTTTCATTCTGACTCCTCTTTGTTGAATTTCTTAGACAAACCAATGTGTTAACGAGCCGGTAAATATCTATGTCTTAAGTTATTTACAGTCAGTTTCAAAGCATGAAAACCTAGAGATGAGGCAACACAATCGAGAAAATGAATTATTTTATTGGTCAAGTTGACAAATTGACAAGAAATTATGCCACAAGGAATTCGTCACATAATTAAAACCTTGTGGAATTAAATAAATGTATCATAAAATGAAGCTATAAAAATAGTTGACGCAGAATAAAATTCAGTGAAATGCACAAAATGAATCTTCGTATAGAATTGGAAAGCAATAAATATGTACAAGATTAAACACTAAGTTTTTTAAGTAATGGATGTTCCGATCGGTATTTAGTTTCGATGCTATTTAATGTTAACACTAAACTTACTTTATTCATCAACAGTTAGATCGATTGAAATATCAGAAGATAATACAGGAACAGACTGGCCTAATATAGCGGCTGTGACTGGACCGGGAGCTTGTGGATGCAAAGATTTCTCTTTTAGCCAAGGAGTAACAGGTTTAATGTTATTTACTGAGTGAGTTTCGTCGATCTTAGTTAAATTATATGAAGTAAACAGAGTTCCTTCAAACGAAAGACTACTATTAGTGATCGGCATGTAACATATATTATTTATTGCTTGTATATCTTTCGAAGCTCTTTCGCTACTATTTACAAGAATGATCTGAGAAGTGTCTGAGGTATCAGAGGAAGTAGTGGATGTTTGTATTTCAAGTGTTGAGTGGTTAATTTTTTTTAACCTTCGTTTAAGCTTCGCAGCTCGTCGTCTATCAAGGGAAATTATACAATTATCTGGTTCGTCCGATACTTCATGATTTTCTTCATTATTACAATGAGACACAATATCTTTAGTAGGAGAATTAGAAATAGCACTATCCGGCAGATAAATACACACTTTTTTAATGGATTTTTCTTTCGAATGCTTTTTACATATATCAGTAGATCGTACTAGCTTATTATTATTAATGAGACTGAAATTATTACTAGCCTTATTTTCCTCTAGAGGAGGACATGAATATCTTTTTGACTTAGCAAAAGCATCTCCGGAAGTGGGATTAGTTGCATGATGATCACAAATAGTTTTAGAATTTATGGAGATTGGTTCGCATGAGTTTGAGGAAGTGGGTAGATCAAACTTCGGACTTGAGATGGGAACACTTTCATCTAGCGAACCATTCCAATCGTGAACATCTTGTGGGGGCTGAAATAATTTGGACTTTGAGTTCTGAATATCAGCAGTATTGGGAGAAATAATGGGAGAAGTGTTATTCCTAGTGATGATATCTTTATTACAAATGGATGGAGATGTATATGGGGGTATTTCAGCATGTCCATTACAAGTCTTTTGTGGTGAGTTCGATGAGGTTGATGAGTTTGAAATGACTGTATTTGCAACATTTGGAAATATGATCGGATGATTTACTACAACTGAAGACTGATCTGAATAGCCGTTCTCGATTTGAGTGGTATCGCATGCTATCAAGTTCTTGAAAGTTGGTGTAAATGATATTCGTACATTTTCCTGAAGTAATGGATCATTATCTTGAGAGACTGTGAGTAAGCATTGGACAGGTGGTGAAATATCATCTGTAATCTGATAATCTTGATTAACATTAGTCTCACTATGAGCATTACAATATAGTGTATCAACTGAATGGGCATCTTTTTTTGATTCATTGTCATTCAAAATGGATGTAGGGTGATTCTGGCAAGGTTTACACAAATTTTGAACACATGATTCTACCAGGGCTGCTTCTTTAGACGATTTTTTATTGGTGTCTATTAAATCAAACTCCAGCCTATTGTTACTGACATCGGTAACCAAAAGATTATTTACACTGATATCTGAGTTCAACAAATTCGAGTTGTTTTTTAAAGTCGACTGAGTAGGTAAATTTTTAGTAGTTGATAATTTTTCAGTAGTTCGATGGCTGTGAAGATCTGATGATGCAAACGTAGATGTGTTCGTAGTGCTATCAACTGGACGAAATTGGTCAGAAGGGGTGAAAATATGTTTATCAGGTGCACAGTTAGAAGAATGATAACTGACAGTTTGCGGTGCAGGAAATTTAGCACTTAAATCTGAAGTAACATTAACCTGCTCACTAGATAGCGTTTCACTAACAAAATTATTGCTCGGTAAGAAATGACATGCACCAGCCTTATGGTTATTATTATTAACCATGGAAGGGCATTCTATTTTTAGGTTAGAACTGGATATTCTAGTCGAAGCATCCTGCGAAAATGTCAGTTTTGAGTAGACAAACTCCTGTGTATCACTGCTGAGAGAACTAACGCTTTGATTGGTGTGTTCCTGTAAGTTTGTTTGGACTATATGTTGAGTAAGAATAAAACTGGGATGAACTGGTGGCCAGGACGATAGCGAAATTATGCCAGGTTCTTTCAGAAGGAAATGAGATGAATTATTTTTGGAACCATATGGAATGCTCAAAGCAGGACATGGTAACTTCAAATTTCTATATAGAGACTGACAATTCCAGCATTTAGCAAGTATCTTGAGAAGGTTTATCATTTCGTTACCAATAGATCTTAGTTCTGTTTCATGCTGACGTCGAGCCCAGACCTCAATTACATCATACTGGCTTTGCAATGACGAAAAGAAATACTTTAAGTCAATATCAGCACGTGAATTAACTTCAGTGGATAGACCTTTGTAAGCTGGGATCCAAGAGTTAGTAATGGATGTATAGGTCTGTGATAGTTGATTCTTGAAAGATAACACTTTTTTCATAACTAAATGAAGATGTCTAGTTACATCAACAGTTAGATATTCTAATAGATGAAAAGATGTTTCAATAAAGAGAGAAATGTTAAACTTTGGTACTGCATTTGAAAAATGAACTAATTTTTTCACATATTTGAGGGACTCGATAACCCATTGTTTGGAGTTTAGTAAAGTCAAGTTTTCATCATTGCAAGACATAATATTCTGATTGTAAAATGGACCAAATAAGAAAGTATTTCCAGTTAAGTGACGTAAACTTTGGTATATGCGTTCCAATAGGTTTATTAGATTAAGAATATGAGGGTTGACCTCTTCATTAAATATGCGACCAATATTATCTCGAGCAACAGCTTCTGATTCAAAAAGACGTGCGCGACCTCGAGCAATACGTAAATAAGTCAGTTGCTGAGTATCGTTACAATGGGTTTTTGAAAGTTCATATCTTGCTCTTAGACAGGCACCAGCTGACATAAGCGATGCATAGGAATCACGTAGTCTGCACAAACAAACAGATACAGCTTGATGTAAATGTTGTATGATAATGAACAAATTAACGGATAACTGTTCATCCAACGGGACATTGAAATTAGAATGCACACTTGGCTTGATATCAGTGAAAACATGAATGCACGTGTTATGAAAAGAATTAATAAGCAGTCCAAATCCTGCAATATGATAAACGGGCAAACCGATATTCGTTTTCAATATAGTTGTGAGTGGTTTTGGAAGACAATCAGATAACTTTGTATACAATTCCAAATCATGATGATCATCATGTAGGTTATAAAGTGATGAACATTTCGTAGAATCGTTCTCGTTTGTTTGTATTATTGGTAACAATGAAAACGCACTTGAGATTTGTCCAGGTTTAACAGAGAAGGTTTTTGCAAAGTTTAAAATACGCTTTTTTGCATCTGGTTTAAAAATTAAATATGATAATGTATGCAGTAACATTTTTGGACAACAATCGTACCAAGTTTCATGTAATGGTAAACAACTATATGTAACAGCTAATATTTCTTTTAAAATATTATCAGAATACCAGTGTACAATAAATAGTGGAGTAGATTTTGAAATGGTGCATGAATATTGTGGTAAAGAAATCGATCTTAACGGTGATAAACCAGTTGATGTATAAATATGAATATCACCTGAAGGTATTCTACGACAATAATGTCGACAGTGTTTTAAAACATTTCTTAAAACTAATTGATTTCTACGATTTACTAACAATAAATATAAAATTCGTAAGACATCTCCAAGTAACAAATGAGATTTCATTTCACTTCTAAAAGAGAAAATTTAAAAGTAAAAAGTTTTTGGTAGAAATTATCGAAATGTCTACTTTTAGATAAAGGAGGCTATCAGATTAATTTCCATAAAATATATTTTAAAAAAAACGCATGTTCTATGACAATGTTTACTGTTCGCTTAAAGCAAGAGGGTTCAGTGTTAGCAACTTCAATTTTAAATGGTTCATAAAAACTAGATTTTTGATTCATTTTCTTTGGTCAATAACGAAACAGATATAATTCACAAGAAGGTTATGTATAACTGGTTGCAAGTAATTGCCATTTGGGGGGATTGACCATGCTCTAAAGTTGGTAGTTTTTTCAAGTGGTGTGACTAACAAGGAAATACCAATTACAAGCATAGCACTTAGGATAATTTTATATCCCAAATACAACCACCAACTTATTCAAGTAATTGATGAACTCTTGCTATATCGTGATACAGAGCTAGATGCTAGATAGTACCTGGTATAATATTTCTGTTTACACAGCTACTGAGACAGTATTACAAGTGAGATTCAGTATTGAAGTAACTTTTTCCATGTTGTCATCTGACAGTTATTACATTAATTAATAGTTAGCATCTTAGTAAACGGGACCTTCTTCCTAAACAATGATAAATATGCGTGACAAAATATATAAGTGATGAAAGTAAGATTGGTCACAGCACTGTTTAAATAACAGCATAAAATGCTGACATTTGTCTAAACGACTATTACTGATATATGACAGTAATGTGATTATTCTATAAAGTGATATTTTCATTTGAAATAATAATAATATGATAGATCACGAAAAAACAAACGGACAAAGAAAGCCCTGTGAATTATCATAAACTAGAGAAAAAGAACGAATAGGGAAAACTCACTTTTCATATTTTGATGCATAAGTATAAACCCAATGTGGAGTCTGTGATAGTTTCGCTTCTGGATCTCTATCGAAATCAAGTGAAGAAACTAATCGAAGTCCAACAGAATCTTCCGTTGACCGCAATTTCCATCTCTAGTGAATAATATAAGTAGGGAAGGAGAAAAGAAATATTGTTTAAAAAATAAGAAGAAAAGGGAAACTATATACATATTTTGATTAACAAAAGTTTGAAGAACATTTGACCATTCTATCCACAAAGTGTGTTAATGACAAGGCGAAGGAGAAATGTATGGATTTTGTCTTTACATTTAAGGATTATTACACGTGCTTTCAGTGGTACTGACTTTGAGGATGTTTTGAGAAAAAAAAGTAGTTGAAGGACTTACATACTGTCTGTAAGTATCAATCCCAAGGTTGAACTTTGAAGTTTTAAATACACAGAGCATTAGGTAGAAAGTTAATAATAAATACATTTTATTGTTATATCCCAATGAGTAAAAAATTGCATTTCTAAGGTTTCGTGACTTAATGTGAGCCAATTCTTCGGTTATTTATTTACTCCGAGGAAGCGGCTTACATAGTCACGAGACATCGGAAATACAATTTTTCAGTCATTGGAATATAACAGAAAAAACTATTTATTATTACACACTGATAAAAAGGTGAGAAACAGACAATCAAATTCATAGTATAGAATTATGGAGATTGTTGAATTTCATTGAAATCATGAACGACTAAAAACCTGGAAGTACTGGAGGGTCCTTTCATCTATGCATAACATACAGTAGCAATAATTCTGCTTTTAACCACTATGTATGAATGCTTTGATTTGGCAGAAATGTTAGGCTATTATGATGTTAATTTTCCTCATAGATACATATCGTATACACTTTATTTTTACTTAACCAGTGATATGACATTGCATAATAGGACTGTAAATCAATTGTTCTATAACCATAAACGAGGTTCTAAACTTGTTCATGAAGTTGTATTTCAAAATCTATCAAATTAACTACTTAGGCATGTCTTCTATTCGATTATGGAATGAAATTGTTTTGTAGAAATATAGTTAGCCTTCGATAAAACATAAAGATGTTGGGTATATCAAATGCAAAGAAACAGACCACTTACATAATTAGGGGTAATTTGGGACCTGTATAATGTAGACAGTCTGGTTGTTTTCCGGAGATTCTTACAAAACTGACGAGATCGGTGACGAAGTTGGCGGCTTTTAAGAACACAGGGATTTTTGTAACGTGGTGTGGCTGTAAGAGAGAGTGAAATCATTGAAATTGGTGGTTAAGTTTTAGCCATTAGGGAGAAATAGAAAAGCTTGATGTTACATGTGGTGTAATACGCTTGTGGCTGGTAACACATTCCTACAATAACCACTGACTTTATTGAGTATGTTCATATCATCAATCCAAAGTGAAGCAGGTACTGAATGTTTACTCCTACCCAATTTATCTACAGTTCATTTGAACATTATAAACATTCATTATTTATTTTTAAACATTATTACTTTGTATTATATGGATTTAACTGAGACCCACAAATTTCTTCGCATGCCTCAGTTTTAGTATTTGATACTATATGGATGTTTCAATTTATTATTAAGGATTCCTTAATGAATGAGATCAGCATCATATCATACTTCACTAGTTTTACAAAGACTTTTTTTTTGATTTATTAATCGAAATTGAAATACTCTTTTGTTTTATTGTTTTTATAGGACTGGGGGTTCGACTAAATCATGTGCTATCGGTTATACCCATTTTACCATTTAATTAACCAGAACTACGTAACAAGAGTATATTAAGACAGAAAGTACAAAATAAGCAGAAGTGGTTCCTACAACATAATTTATTCAGTTATGTAGTGTACCAGATTGTGTCTGTCTTCATAAGCCAAACAATCACAGAATACACTGACTAGGCATCAAATAAAAATTGCAGTAATGAATAAATGAAGTACACGTGGCATCTATTTTGATAGTTTACAAGCGAGAAGTTGAAACATGAAACACCGAATACATCTATTAGTCGCTACTTACGGAACACTAAATAACGAGACACAGATCTCGTTATATAAATTGCCTTTCTGATAACCATTCATAACAAGAATTTGCAGTCGATTGACTTGCTATATTTTATATCTGCTGGGGAATTTTAGATTTATAAGTAATCAGGTATTATTAAATAAGTTAAATGTTAGGTCCACGTCGCCTCTGTTGAATCCGCAATCCTACTGCACATACTCGGAAACCAAAACCATTGTAAATTCCATGCCATAAGCAAGAACACAAAAGATTGATGTAAGTAGAGATTTATTGACTAATCGAAAATATATCCCCAAAACAAGTCGTTCAGATGCATTCACAACATACACCCATTTATGTGCTGACTTTTAAACACAATAATACCAGATATAAGGAGAAATACATAGTTCATTAAAATATATAAAAGTATTCGTACATAAATTAAGAATATTATCCCATTTTTCAAAATACTTATGTACATATAACGAAAGGCAGTGGGTGTATGCACGTGAACATGTGAGAGCATTTCGAGAGAGAGGGATGAATTTCCCCACCCTCGGCCGTACCAGGGCATTTGGGGGCAAAACTGTGACGCGCCAGGAGTCGAACACCGGGCCACATGGCTGACAGCGAGGAATCCTAACCGCTAGACTTACTTAGGTCTTCTGATTTTCTTCTTGAAGTTTCCCACTGCTGTTAGTACCCTTATTTTCATTCGTTGGAATTTTGATGTCTTTCCGCTCTGTACTGATAATTAATGTGTGATGAAAGTTAAAATAATGATTATTTATGCCATGTAGAGGTCAAGAGACTACCAGAGGTAAATTGAGTACGATTTAAATTAGAAACCTAGCATTTAAAAATGGTACTTAGAACATTAAGTCGGAGCTACACTGATTGTCGGGTCTGCAGAATGGAACTGAAGCGAATGTCGAGTTGTGCAATCCTTGGAATATAAGTGAAACTCTTTCATTCACAGGTGCACCAATATATCTTCCAAAAGCATGGATTATACTATAGCCACCTACATAGTTGGTTTCATATTAATGATAAAATATGCATAAAAATATTCATTACCTACATGGACCACATTTTCCCTCTTCATCCTAAAAATAAAAAGGACAAGATAAACAGTAAGGTTTAACAACTATACAACATGGTGGTTACAATGTAAAAAAACTAATAAGATTGCATACATCATTTCTCTTAATGATACATATTTAGAATTATATTCAATATTATTCACCTTAATTGAACTTCTCAGAAAAGTATTAGAGGGACTTGTGATAATCAGGATCTAGTTGATAAGTGGTGTTTTCAAACCTGGCACAGGATAAAATTGAGATCTTCGGGAAAGATATTTAAATTCACAGGTTTGTGAAATAAGCGTACAGAATAGACTGATAGAGAACAAATTTACAGTGCTTAACTGGAATTTCTAAAAGGTGCATTTACGCTTTAGAATAGATCAACATCGAAACTGTTTTAAAAACAGCTGCTATATTTGCCTGTTGATCGACGGACATTACGGTGTACAGTATTCCTGGCTTTGGAATAATTTTATTCGTTGTAAAGTTGAACGATAACATCTACAAAACAATTTTTAGTGACTTGAGACCGCTCAAGTAGTTAAAGCTTTATCTGAGACTATCTGCTGAGTGAAGTACAGATTGAAATTTAGGTTAGATAAATTATCAAGCATGTGGTGAAAAGCAGATGATTCATAAGGTAATATAAAATATTGTTTAGAGCAATAAGAAACAGTTTTTGAATAAGTCTCTGTAAATCAGCCATAAATAGTTTCACTGAGGCTAGGCAGTAGTTAATCCCCACCGATGCTGTTTCAGAATAAAAGCTTCTACGTAGTATTAGAAAAGGAAAATAACTTGAAGCCAACTGATGCTCCAAGACACTAAAATGCGATATGATAGCACGAATTTGAAAAATCTTAGATTTCATAACTGATATTTGTTATGTTATAAAGTCTACTGTTATGTCAAAAGTAATGGAGGAATTACAAACATCAACTTACGGAAAGAATTTCAATTACATCTGATTCATTCGTAATTGGTGTAAGCCTTTGAGATTCCTTTGATTGTGTGATTTTATTTTTAGATTGTGAAGCGAAATCTTGTGTTGTCCTTTCTGACGAGTGACTTGATTTGTTAATATTTAGATGACGTAATTGAGCCTTTGTTCGGGGCCGGTTTATATTATTCATCATTACAGTATTATTTTTAGCAAATATTGCAGATGGATTTAGAGTAAAATGGCTAGCATCTATTTCCATGTAACCGTGATCGGAAATGGGACGAAGTGAACTCTTATTGAACTCTGAGTGATTTGTTTGTTTGCCAGATATTGTACATAATTTTGATGGTGAACACAACTTCGACATTGCCAAAGCCAACTGAATAGGGTATCTTAGTAGTGTACATTTTTTATGAATATACTCTCGTAAAACGGGATCCTCGTTATATGACTCACTAAGACCATTAGCTGATAAACTTAGAGGAATCGAAGGATAATGATGAGTACCGTGAGGTGTTTCTTGAATAATGGTCGTACGCCTAGACGAAACAGATAGTGCATGGAAATCCCCCATTTGTAGACCAGAGGTACGATTTATAGAAATATCACTAGAACAGCTATTTTGAGTTGAGGAAGTGCAAGACGTGGTCGGCAATTTATACTTAGAATTTATAAAATCAGCACTAGCACCAATGACATTTGATATACATACAGTCTGTGAAGGGCCTGGAGCAGGATTTGGTGAAGTCTGAATATCATTCCTGATTGATGAAATGGTTTTGCAAATACCTGTTCTCTGATTCAACAAGTTATCAGCATGATCACCATCATGAATCAGCATAAAACCAACAGTTTCATTGCTGCTGTTAACAGTTTGATCATTAAGGTGTACATGAGATGTCGATGTGTCATTAGCCTCAGGCTTGATTAATAATGAAATATTACTGTCATTACTATGAAACGCATTTCGTGTACGCGAAATTGTATCATCTAAAAGCGACAAGTAACAATACATATTTTATGAAAACCCTACAGACCAATAAATGGTTTAATATTGTATAAATAATCAAAATTGTAAAGGATTATTGTGGAACCGAGGTTTAGCGTTCCTATCATACAGATATTTAAAATCAACTACGCAGTTCTTCTTTAATGAATAACCGCAAACGATATCAGTCTGTGGTGTTAAATCAGGTAACAAACCTGAAAACTAAGTGAAATAAATGTTCTAAGCTTGTGTTCACCGGTTGTACCAACTATCCAGCGGTGAAACAATGGGAATTCGAACAGTTTTGTCGAATTAATATAAAATATTCTTCCCAGTAGTGAAATGTTTTTACTTAAGTCTAAGGTGAATCGTGTGAATGTGAGCCTCAAAGAAAGAAAATCATCCAACAGAACAAATAAGCAATTAAAACTTTTCGGGAAATTAATGAATCATAATTATCTTGGAGACTGGTACAAATTCGTGTTAGCCAGAGTAGCCGTAGTGGTACATAAGATGAGACCAATATAATGAACAAAGAATTAGGAATAATGGCAGTATCAGTGATACGATGAATGATGGAACATTTAGAACCTGAATCGAAAAGGAGGAATACGGAGAAGTGTATGAAGAGATACTAGAACTGGAGATTTAACGGGGACTTAAAAAATGGATTCATTTGCGCCCCTGCAACTGATTTTGACATATGCTACTCGACGTCCCCCTACCAAACACTGATAGTGGTCATCAAACGAACTTCCATGAGACATACATATAGACTCCAACTTTCACACTTTAACACACAATGAAGAAATTAACAGAAAGATGAAGTTACTAAAGTTAACAATAGATGTCAGAAATAAATTTTATGATATTAGAGTAAGAATTGAGATTCACTTTGAACAAATATATGTGAGCTTAGGGAAGGATGCTATGCCGTCTTTCAGTTTCATTATATTCTAGCCCGCTCTAGCGTATCGTAGTCAAATTACTGTGCATGTGTACTACACACCTTAACCACTCCTATTGATGAAGGCTAGACTGAACATTTATATGTTATATGCGTTTAAATAGGATGCTTCACTGACAAAGTAATACAAAGCAAAGTGCTGAGTAGCTATACTAGCTTTATGATAAGCAAACGGACAACTCATATGATACACTGGTAGAGCAAACTGGCAAAAGTTCAACAATTGCATGTACCCTGTTAATATGAATGCACTACTACTAAGTATTGGGGCATCTACTTTTTTGTGATAAGATTGAGTAACAGTGTTGAAACCTATACAGTGAATTGTAACAGCAATATTTCTAACTCAAAAAGAATGCCAGGCGAGTTGACTATGCATGTGGGGACGTTATGGATACATGGGTAACCAGTGGGCAGCAAATTAAATTTATAGACAGTATAAAAAACTGAGATTTCAGCTGGGATTAAGCAAAAATCTAAGCAGTCAGGACTATAGTCAGTATGATATCAATTAAGTAAGTCTGGATAAGATTGAATACTCGAGGTACAGCTAATCTTAAATGAAAGTCGGATACGGCTAATAGTCGTTTATTGGTTGTGTCAACTGGGGTATGCTACGAAATCTGTTGTCTAAGCAAGCTTCGTTTTATTCTGTCTGCTCTATTTCCAAACACTATTCAACTATATTGAAACTTTAAAGCATCCATCTATTAGCTTCTGTACAGAAATGGCAATAGAGACTTGCAAAATATACTACCAACGTTAATCATCCACATGAATTCAAAGATGTTAATATCTTGTTTTGAATAGATTTCATGGCAACAACCATACCAAGGAAGATTTTCCCAGTAAATTTATTAAGGTTACCAGTGGGTAGGGATTTATTAAGCAACAAAGTTTATGATGATGATCCTCCGTCTTATTTTATCGGGGAGTGTACTAATTTCTGTGACCCCTGTACACCATTTAACTCAAAGAATCAACATCATTATAGTTAATAAGTTTCTGAATATGGTAATGTTGCTTTATAGAATGTTGTTGAATATTCTGTTATGAACCAGGTTAATGAATTCAAGATCATCTAAAAGAAATGTTGCATGCAATCAGGTGTGTCATTATTTTACAGAAGTTAACAGATGGACGCTTTTAAGTTGCAATGTAGTTGAATGGTGTACGAAGCGAGAGTAGTTAAAATAACGAAATTAATCTAACAAGATGAGTAGTATATGGATCGAAATAGTTTTTATAGCAATGATAAGAAAGAACTAACAGTGGGAACAGTTTCAGAAAACAATAAAAAGCTATGTATGAAGGCGAACGAAGACGAAGATCTAGAGGGAGACAAAGCAGTGAATGCATACGAACCACGTCATAACTAATAACTTTTACAAACCAAATCCTTATGATAAATCAGTCAACAATTGGTACGGCAATAGGTTAACGTTGATAAGCTTTAGCTAGCCTCAGTGCAGCTAACTATAAAAATACTAGTTAAAAACTTATTTTAGGGAATTACATTTTTGTATGCATAGGACAGTTCAGGGTTCTTATTCGACAGTTAGAACCGCGGTTCTACAGTTGTGCGTAACATACGTGGAAGAAGCTAAGTATTCAAGCCTATATATGTCAACCACTGTTATTAAAATTACGCTACATCTGCACATTTACAACGGAAGAGCAACAAGGGCTGTAAGGATATATCTGATTCTATCAGGAAACGATATTTTTCCCATCCGATATGCAGAATTTCTAATCTTTATGAATAGATATGAATCTACTAAGAACCACAACGTTTAATGTGATAAGGTCGTGACAAATATTGCACGATAAGAGTGCTGTACAGATGTCTAGATGGAAAAGCGTTATGGAAATTTGCAAAACCTTTTCCGGAGCACTTGAGATAAACCATTTTGGCAGAAAATGTCATGTACTCCTTTGTTGTTACAAAGTATCATGTTGGTATTTTCAGATTCGAGAAATCAAGGTATCCACACTAAAACAGCGCATTAATTGAAGTGTGCACCACAAATGTGCTTTAATGCTAACGTAAGTGGTAAATAAACAAAATGTGTGCCATCTTTTGGATAATGTGATAAGCATAATAGCAATCTATCAAATATCATGCACAATGAAGACGTAATGCCATGGTGGGTCTGCTAGAGCATTCACAAAACCAAAAATATATGACGAGCGATAATATAGTAAAGGTATCAACAACAAACCTTTTTCAGATTTGACTAGTGTTCGCAATGTATCGAAAAGATTGCGTGGGCGACCTGATGCGGATGATGACATTTTCAAATTGAATTGGAGGCAATAATATGCCAACCAAAAACCAAGTATGATAGTCTCCTCATGCCATAGCTATTATTAAATAATGTTATTGTCCTGTAGGGTTTTTTCCCTGAAAGTTGTTTAGTCTAATTAGACATCATGATTTATTTGGCGGGTCTGATGACTTGCGCGTTGTTTACACAATCCTTAGATTACCTCAGCTGTACTTATGGTTGTTATGGGAATAATCAGTCCGTTTTCTGTCCCTTTCATAACTTGTACGCACAAGCCGATAAGATTCTTGAAGTTATAACTTCAAGAATATGTAGCTTGTCACCAGTCATAGAACTAAATATTTTGACCATGTTTTGTAGGCATTATTGCCTTACTTAAGTTACCCATGTTGTTTCATCTTGTAAATTGCACTTAGAATTGCTGTGCTGCCTAGGAGATCTCATTCGTCAAAACATCAATAATCAAATCTAACGTATCCAAAAGTACCTTATTATTTACTGGATAACATCAAATATGTTTCTTGGTATGCAGTGTTATCTCGATTCTGATTTGTTTTTATGAACCGATTTGAATGTTAGCGTATAACTAGTCCTATACTCTAATATATGAAAAATGTCACTCGATATATTACTCACTTGGAAAGGAATAGTCAAATAGGAAGTGGACGTACCCAACCTCCCATTATTTATATATCTTAATTTCATTTTTATATATGGCAATGTCATAGAGGGCTTGAATTGAAATGATAACTATTATTACTGCGCTATGTTCTTAGTGAGAACTATAATATTTATTGGAAGTGAAGTGCAAACAATACAACAGCTTAATCCTTTGTATACTAGTTTCTCGTGGATCATCCCACCTTCTTAAAAACTTTCATGTTTTAAATGATTTAGAACTCAGAAAAATCAATATGTTTAGCATAGTAATAATCACAGCAACCTATACTCAAATAAATTGATGGACACTACAATCAAAACTGTTGAATGACAAAATTTATTAAGGACAATTTCTTGTTTATTGTGGATTTCTATAATCCTGAAAATCCGGATTAATGGTTTGATTCCTAGTGTGTCTTTATTTTCACTATTCCATGGTCGTCTGTCTAAATGGATCTTGTGGAGTGCACGTGTGAAACGTGATAGCAGCAAATCTTAAGGCATAAACCATGCGTTACTAAATTTCCTCATCATTCCTTCTATATTTGGACGTTATTTTTATCCGATATTCTATCGCGCAAACATTTTGGAAATTTTTAATCTCTGGCTCGCGCATCGTTTGCAGAAAAACAACCACTGATATTTAATCAAAGACCATGCAACCAAACGTTTTTATATACAACCAGTGCTGCTAGTTGGCGCATGATCCACACAATGTGGACGTTTGTTTGCACTAGCCGACATCTCACTAAATTACATGACGTGGACCGCAAATCCAAGCAGCGTCTTATTAATTTCTTCGTTCTGACAACCAATGTAGAGCAAAGGCACTCGTTTAATTACTTGCAATTTCTTGATATTTGTCTGTACACGTTAATGTCTAGCATATGACAGGAAAATTAAAAAACCGCATGTCTGATATGGCTTCGTGTTAATAATGCTCGATTTATACATGAAGAGTTAACATTTTTGTATACGTTCATTACTATATCTTTTGAGTTATCATTTGATGAGATAACTGAGAGTTCGGCACTAAACTACATTCACTTTAAATTCGATTGATAAAAACAACGTCAGTGTTCAGAGCACCTCGTCAATTGTCTTCGGAGGGCTTTACATCAATATTATCAAGTGAAGGAAACAATTGTCAGGACATCCGTCTAGAAGTATTTTAGTACATTTATTTAAGCAGTAAGGTATTCGTCCCATAAACTTAGATTTCCTTGCAGATTATTAATGTGAAGAAAGTAAACTAGTCACAAAATATCATGGAACAAAGCAGTACGACTGAAGTCGTCTGTCTCATTTCGCACCATATTCTTAGCTGACCAAGTGTAACAAACCACCGTTAAAAAGTAGCAGTAGCAATTTTTGGTAATAGCTTTGGATCTCGATATCACCAAAAAAGTAGCATTTACGTTGACTTTCCTATGTGGATTCTTAGTGAACAGTTCTTCATACTATGTTACCTTCATCTATCAGACAAACTGACATATATTTCTGCTACATCTCAACGAGGAGTCATTAGTTGTTTTGCTGGGATATTATAATTCATTTTCGTAGTGTAAATAAGCAGAACCCTACTTAGAAATGGTTGTCTCATCCAGCTCGTTGTGTTCTGTCAGCAACAAAACAGTCAGTTTCGTTTACTCTACTGTACATAATTACTATTTTCCTCATTATGAGCATAAAACACTGACCAGCATTTATCCTCAATGCTTCATCCTATTTACTTATAGATAATCTGTAACCTGTCTTATGAGATAGAAGTTTGTTGATCGAAAATATTAATCATGTTATTTGCAGTAAGATCCCATATTCAATTCCGCACAGAATTTAGTTGTGCTTGAGACCTAAAACCATACTGACATACATTTTGTAAGGCAAAGACTAAAGATCATAATTCCGCATCTAATATTCTACTTCTAATAGTGGGAACCGTAGTAAAATATATATATATATATATTCGATATGCTTCTGCTATTTCGCATTTTTGGTGGTAGTGATATTTATTTATTGCGGTCAGAAATTGCTCAGACTACTGGCCCTTGAAAACTGTATTCATAATTAATTTGCTTGTTTGTTTACAAACTATTATCATTATCGAAAGAAACATCCACACATATTTGATTGTCTTCATGAAGATATTTTTCCGTTTAACGTAAAATTATATTCAAGCTTAGCGCATATCGGCTCGAACTTTAGCATTTCGATAATAGGTGATTTCCAAACAAGTCAATATATTTTACCTTCAAAATAAAATTTGTAATTTATTACATCAATAAAACTAAATTGAGTGGAAGCATAGAACTAGACATTTGTGTTTTGTCTAACCTCCAAGACTGTTGACAACGTACACATACGAATGTCAGTTAAATAGTAACTACATTACATGTACGTTTTGGCATTTTTAGCTGATGAATTTTTACTGCCGGCTTATCTGTATTAAATTAGTACTGCTAATTCACTTAAACAAATTTGCGATTACGTTACTTTCGGTGAGACAGTAAATGAGTTACGATACAAAGTGTTATTAAATACGGTTTATTTCAAACAAGCTTTTTCTCCAGACAGAACGGACGATATTGAAATGAATAAGTACTTGTAAGAATCGAATGAAAGTTGAGAGTATATATATGAATTAACATACATGTGTATGAAAAAATTCCCGAACTAAAAATGCAGGATCTATCTTGAATGATAGGTCATCAGGCAAATATGAATACGCTCACAAATGCATACGCGTACACAGATAAGAGTTAGTAATAATTTGTGTATACAAAATAATCAATGAAATCATGCATTACTCAGTTTAACATTTATCTCATATCTTTCTTGACGCTACTGAGAATTATAGGTTTTCAGAGCAATGGGAAAGAGTGAAATGGTCATTATGCAAGGTGATCAATGAGCTCAACTGGAGTTGGATAATTTTCCGTGACTTCATGTTACGGTTCTTACTTCAATGCTAAAAGCCATTTTTCAGGTGCTTCAAAGTGACTTCGGTACATGAATTTAGACTTTAGTACATAGGTTGCATACTACAGAGATAAATCAATCTAAACAATCCCAGATACAATACCTTTTAGATAAATCTCCGGAGGACTGTATGTAGGCTTAAATATTTCCATAGTGAAAAGTATAACAACGCATGTGAACGAATGACAACGTTACCGATCAGATCGTAATCGGGCTAAACTTGAATATACGTATTTATATGAAAATATTAAGTCAGCCCAGACAATTCTTGAGTCAATGATCATAATGAAATAGTTTGCATAACTACTTTTGGTATGTAAAATATTTAAGTCGACAGTTTGATTTGTCTATATAGGGCTTACCACCAATCGACTTAACTAACGACAGTGATCAAGTGATAGTTAAGACCCAATCGCTTCGTGCGACCTATCGTACACCATCACTCCCCATTGGGGTAAGATCCCGTTTCCTACATGTAGCAAAAGCTGTTAGAAAACTGACTAATTCCTCATTCTCTTTCATTAACATTACTCAATACCTGATTACTTACACACCTAACATGACATGGTCTGAATGGTGTTTCGTGATCATTATTTTAGTCTACTTATCTAAATTTGTCCTACTTATCTTGAAATATTGGCTAGAATTTTTACTATTCTTATCCCTACTGGTACACCCGTCTTCTTACTACCAATTTATACTTATTACCTATTATGCCTAGTTATGCAATATACTTCATTGGGATCGTTGACCCAAAAATTATCATTTTCAAATAAATATGCATGTATATTAGCGTGAAGCCATAAAATGATCCAACTGAGAACAATATTATCCGACTATGCGTGTGTCGAATATTATTCAACTTCATGACTAACGAGTATTCGATGAAATTGTAATAGCTGTATAAAATATTAGGTTGTATATATTATAGTAATTCAAATAAACCAGTTTAATGAAGGGATAGTTCTTAATCAATGAACATTGTGACAAAAATAATTTCAGGTTGAAACAACAAAGATTTCAGTACGAACAGATGAACGTGAACGTTTTAATTGGTTATATATATATATATATATATATATATATATATATATATATATATATATATATATATATATATATATAATGTCCGTGAGGACATATGAACAAGGAATAAACATGATTTCATATGAAGATTATGTAATATGAATACAAACAATAAATGATTGTATCTAAATAGAAAGCATTGTAAAATTAATAATTTAGCAATGGATTGAAGTAAGATGATCAAAATGTTTTGGTTAAATAGTTAAACATAGTATAGGGGTAAAAATGAAGTGATATCAGAAACAATCACGGATAAAATCATGAGGATATG